TGAAAGAGCACTTCGTTGCGCATNCTTCTCAACACCAAATGGTTCCGAAAAAAAAATAACACGGGGGTTTAACTGGGCCCGAAGCAATTTATACCCCAGTGGCCCCAAAGGGGTTAAAGTGGACGATTTGGTTTAGCCTAGGGTTGGGCCGTTCTAGATTTCACAGGCCTCTTTTCTCTACTTAAAATGATAGAAGAGACGGTGTTGGACTTGGCAAAAAAAAGAATTTTTTAAAAAGCTTCAACTGGGACTCGAACCCGGGTCCTCAAAGATGCCAGGCAAATGCGCAAACCACTGGGCCACCGAGACCTGGGGTTAGCGAGGGTTAACCCTAGGGTTAAGCTAGGGTTAACCCTAGTTTTGAAAAATCAATTAGGGTTAGCTCAGGAAAGGCTTAAAGCTTGGTCCAAGATATGGTTTCCGCATATGAAATGAAAGAGCACTTCGTTGCGCATCTTCTCAACACCAAATGGTTCGGAAAAAAAAATAACACGGGGGTTTAACTGGGCCCGAAGCAATTTATACCCCAGTGGCCCCAAAGGGGTTAAAGTGGACGATTTGGTTTAGCCTAGGGTTGGGCCGTTCTAGATTTCACAGGCCTCTTTTCTCTACTTAAAATGATAGAAGAGACGGTGTTGGACTTGGCAAAAAAAAGAATTTTTTAAAAAGCTTCAACTGGGACTCGAACCCGGGTCCTCAAAGATGCCAGGCAAATGCGCAAACCACTGGGCCACCGAGACCTGGGGTTAGCGAGGGTTAACCCTAGGGTTAAGCTAGGGTTAACCCTAGTTTTGAAAAATCAATTAGGGTTAGCTCAGGAAAGGCTTAAAGCTTGGTCCAAGATATGGTTTCCGCATATGAAATGAAAGAGCACTTCGTTGCGCATCTTCTCAACACCAAATGGTTCGGAAAAAAAAATAACACGGGGGTTTAACTGGGCCCGAAGCAATTTATACCCCAGTGGCCCCAAAGGGGTTAAAGTGGACGATTTGGTTTAGCCTAGGGTTGGGCCGTTCTAGATTTCACAGGCCTCTTTTCTCTACTTAAAATGATAGAAGAGAGAAAATAGTAGTTTCATGCGCAGAATCATATCCAGATGGACTCACTGCACTAAAACATTTTATGCAAATGATTGTATAGGAATGTAGTCCAGGCTATTTTTAGGAATGTAGTCCAGGCTATTTTTAGAAATCTTCCTTCTCTCTCCCTTTTGGGGTTTTTGCCCGCCCATTTTTGGGTAAAATTTGGTCTAGATTTGGAATTTGATGTCTGAAATTGCATTATCTTTCAGATTTGGTGATATGATGAGAGACTTAAAGGCGGAAGGCTAATTCTAAAAATAGTCGTTTTGTGAAGTGCCAAACTCTAGCGGATGAGTATAACCGGTAGTAGTCTACTTTCAATTTTAGTAGCTCAAAATTTTCATGGTCATCATATAATGAATTTTTTAGGAGACATTGAGAATTGGTCAGGCTTTCATTCGACATATTGGAAAGCTTTCAACGAGATTTCTGGAAAAAGTTATAGAAGGTTGAATTTCGTGTTTTAACATGGGAAGAGATGGCAAATGAATTAGTGGAATGAGTCCATCTCTTAAAATCGATTCATTAAAGGGACATAACCCAACCATGAGAACTCTTATGTCAAAAAGATTGATATAACCCTTTAACACGTGATACAAAATGTCAACAACGATTGACGTGGAAGATGAAAACATTTTGACAACTATCTTCAAAGATGCATTCCCGGGTAATATTTTGAGAGTGAAATCAATTGAATTGTAAAATAGTATTCTAACTTCTTAATGTAGACAAATAAACATGTTGATTTTCCTCTGATGTTGCAGGAAGTTGGAAAAAATGGGACCTACCTCTATTAACTATTATATTTTTTGGTGCCTTTTAGAATTAGATGGTGCTCGGGTCCACAGAAAAATATATAGTTCAGTGATTTTACATTCACTCCCCTCCAAGAAATTTCATGTGAAATTGACCCACCCACTCTGTAAAATCATGTTACGATTCATAGAAGGTTGGGATTATGTTTCGTTACGGTAAATGGTAGAAAATCGTCTGAAGCGGAGATGGTCGTGACGAGCGTTAGCCACGTTCTCATATTATAATTATTTACTATTAAAGAGAGAGTTGACTATTGATAGAAACAGATGCCTGTGCTCTCAATAGTATTTTGTAGTTGATATTTCAATTTATATGAAATGATTGCCAAAAATTCAATTCAATAAACATTGTAAACAGAGCTTTTGACTGAATTTTCACCATGGCACAACTAATGAGTGCTTTAGGCCTACTTATTGAATTTTATTCATGTGGTCGCAAATAAAAAAGTTTATGTAAGCGTAAACTTTTCCCTTACATAATGCATAGTAAAGAAAGCTAGTAAAATAGATAAGTGATGTTGTGGGAACATCTTGGTGTTACTACATCTGAATGTTTATTTTGTCTTTACAGAAAATTGGCAAGAAAATCCTGAATTTGTAAAATATTTGGTAGAACTAAGTTCCTATGGAGTCGATAAATTGGGTGAGTTTTTCATATTATTTGACAATGCTTCCTTCAGCAATAGATTCTGACTCTCCACCAAATACTAAGCCTATTCACTATACATATTAAAATCTCTTAATCAAATAGAGACAGTGGATATTTCCTATCCAATATGTGGACCAAATTATTTAGTTCTCCTAACTTGATCCTAGTGCTTTAATTTTAGTGCTTTATTATTTATTAGCCCAATGCTATATTATTATATTGTTTTTTCTAATTATTATTACATCAGTGTTCTAAGTTGTTTTGTACCTCTATTGGCTTCATGTGATTTCCTTTCTTTAACCTCTTTTGTTCTTATATGCTCATCTCTAATCATTATTGTTATATCCCTGTTATGGCTTCCATTGATTTACCTATATATCTTGTGTTGTTCGGTTGTTAATCATTTTACTTAATAACATTACCTGTATGTGTTTCGAAACGTAGTATGTAATAAAACTAGAAGTAGTATCATATCCATATAACTTGTGTTCTTAATGTTTACTTTCCTGCTTCTATATGTCTTACAAAGATTAATCGTTAGAAATTTATTAAGAGTTCAGTAAACCAATGCTGTTGCACTATCAAAATTTCCCTCATTGCACTCATTAGCCCAATCAGAAAAGTAGGATGTGGAACTTCATTGATTATATTATTGGTCAATTTGATTTTAGCAAGGGAGCCAGACAGGTTGGCTGAAGAAAGGTCTCAGATATTGGAAGAAACCAGGAACCTAGCATTCCATAATTATACCACATTTATACAGACGGCTGATTGTTCTAAAGAAATTTTTGAAGACGTAAGTTTGAGTTTTGTAGCAGAGAGTACTAGAATTGCTAACAATTTTGATATTAAGTATTTGAAATATAAATATGGAAAGCTTTGACTGCCTCCAAAAAGCCAGATTTTGTTTTGATTTTTTACTCAAATTACTGGATGATTTAGGATGATTAATATTCAGTTTTTTTATGTGTATCACGGACACGGATAACAAGCATCAATTTGCACTATTCCAATTTTCAATTAATAGAAGTCTCTGGTTCCTGCAACTTCATTTAAACTAAGTGTTTAATGATGTCACTAATCATAGGGAATTATGTGATAAACACAAAAAACCACAGATGTCTGACTGGAAATTTAAAAACCTCTTTACAAAAATTTGAAAACTTCTGTACAAGTTTTAACTGAAAACTTACTGTCATATTTTTTTTTTCATATTTAAATTAAATTATTATTTGTTATAAAATAGTAGTGCAATCAATGAAAATATGATTATTTGAAATTAATTTTAAAAAATAGGAAAGTTTGGTATGTTAAGGTATGTTCAATCTCTTCATATCATATGCAAAATTACAAAAACCTCTATGGATTTGGCAGTATAATGACATTGTTTCAGGTTGAATTTGATTTAATTTCAGTTTCAAATTATTGAAGGTCATTTAGATTCATTGTTAACCAAGTTACCAGATTTCTCTAAAGAATGTGATCATGTTATTAAAAAAACACAAGAGATAAGTTCAAGGTAGGATTATTTCCTGTTTATAATGTTATCTATTTTCAGAAGAAATCTGATTGGTTAGGTCTGAACCGGTTCTGCTTATTCGAATTCTGGCTCAATTGAAACGTAAGGAACCAGATTTGTCACATGTTCCCATCCATTCCTTCCATACTCTGCCATTTTGAATTCTCTTTACACCTCCTTACTTTTTTCGACACAGGTCAAACTCATTCTGAACTCTGTCCCAAATTAGTTTATTGAACTTATGGTTAATTACGTGAATACCGAACATATAGGTACTCATTTTTTTTTTGCGTATCATTTTTCAGTCGACGTATGAACACTTTAACTCTACAAAGGCACACACAGTTGTTGGAGATATTAGAAATGCCTCAATTGATGGATACTTGTGTAAGGAATGGTTATTATGAGGAAGCTTTAGAACTAACATCTCATGTCAAAAGATTGGAGAAAAAACATTCCAATATTCCTGTTATTATGGTTAGTATTGAGAGGAGGTTCACAATTTAGTCTAGCCCAACAAATGAGGCCCTAACCAGTTCTACCCTACCTGATTATTCGGATCGGATATCGAAACCGAGTTGGTGTGATGGGTTTCCTTAATTTTAGTGTCAAATTAAGCAAACTATTTGATCAATTGGTGTTTCTATGAATTAATGAATTATCATGTATTCTTAATCATATCATTATGTTCATATAATTGAGTTTTAACCAATCATAAAATGTCCATGTGAAATTATTGTATATTTTCTGTAGAATATTGTGAGTGAGGTAAAGAATTCCACACAGTTAATGTTAAATCAATTGATACAACAATTACGAACAAATATACAATTACCAGCTTGTTTACGTGTTATTGGTTATTTACGTAGAATGGATGTTTTCACTGAAGCTGAATTACGTATTAAATTTTTACAGGTTGGTTTTACTATTTTTAGTTGAAGACAATATTTCATCATTTCTGAAAAAGCTTGCTGCAGGTTCACCTTTTTGTCGCCAATGTTACCTTTTGTCTTTGACTGGTTTTGTCATCATGTTACCCTTTCTTATGGCTCACGCAGCCAATTTTGTTTTGAAGTATGACTTTTTATGAAGTGATCAAGAATGTCATGTGATAATTATAGGCTCGAGACAGCTGGTTACAGAATATATTACAAGCTATACCTAAAGAAGATGGTAAATATTATTTTAAATTCCTTAAATTGTCTCCCTATAACTAATCATGCTTTTTTGAATTCTCCAATATTCCATAAGTCTACATTAGATCCTACGCTACAAGTGCAGACACATTACCCTTAGAATTGCAGACACATATCCTCTCCTAAGAATTGCAGACACATATCCTCTCCTAAGAATTGTAGACACACATTGCCCTTTGAAGTGCAGACCTATATTTACCCTTAAAATTGCAGACACCCACTCCCCTTATAGATATACCTAATAAATGCAAACATATATATAGATATACCTAATAAATGCAAACATAGATTCCCCTTCGAAGTGCAGATACTTCTATTACATTATCAGACATACAATCCTTGCTGGTATTACATGTACAGTATTTCTTGTATTACAGCATATATCCATATCAACAAGACAATAGAGGCCAGTCGGGTACATTTATTTGATATTATAACTCAATATAGAGCTATATTTTCTGATGATGATCCGTTATTATCAACTACTAAAGATGATGGGATCAATGAAACAGCTTTATTTCATGGTTGGGTCGTTCAAAAAGTATGTATCTTAATTATTTTGAATAAGTTTTTTTGTAGAATTTGGTCCCAACATTAGGGAACTGTTTGTGTCTTGTTTCCTCATTTCTGAATTTTTGTATGTGTTCTGATATGTGTGTAAATCATAAAGGGGTATAGTTATCTAGGTTTTTGTTTGACAAGCTGATAAAGCTTAATTTCATCTCTCCATACCACTTTTCAGAAATACAATCTAATTCTTCTATGATTTAACAACAACATAACCTGTAAAGAATTATAGTACAGTAAGGTTTCATCAATTAATGTCCACTGACAATGCTTTTGTTTAATTGCAAAGAGGGCTTGAAATAGGATTTTTATTTTGGACAGCTCTATTGTTTGTTAGACAAAGTATTCCATTTTTATCTTTTCAGGTTTCACAGTTTCTGTCTACCTTAGAGCATGATTTACTGCGAGGTGTTGGTGGAAGATTAGACTCTCTGTTAGGACAATGTATGTATTTTGGATTGTCATTTAGTCGCGTTGGAGCTGATTTTAGAGGTCTCTTGGCACCGATATTCCAAAATGCTGCTCTTAATTATTTCCAAGTTGCTTTGAAAATTGCAAATAAAAAGTAAGTATATGACTCTTTTTCAGTTGATATTTTTCACTTCATAAATTGTTTTACATCTTGCTTTTGCTCCTCCTGATTGAGCTAATGAAGAGCACCAATAAGCTACGAAAATGCTGAAAATTTTTGTCTGACAACAGCACAATTAGTGGCACATTTGCCTCAAGTTCTGTCCTGTCAGAACAAATGAACACTTCATTCATGTCAGCCCGTGTGACCTAAGTAACTGACAGACAGACACCTGGTTGATAAAAAATACAGAATATTTTTAAGTTTTCAATTTTTTCCAGGTTTGAAGAAAATATGGAATCCTATAATTTATTAGGAGTATCAAGTACAAGTAGCAATATACCTTATTCTTCTCAGGTATGTTAAATATAATAGAATACCTTATTCTTCTCAGGTATGTTAAAAATAGTAATATACCTTATTCTTCTCGGGTATGTTAGCAATAGTAATATACCTTATTCTTCTCAGGTATGTTACCAACAGTAATATACCTTATTCTTCTCAGGTATGTTAGCAATAGTAATATACCTTATTCTTCTCAGATATGTTGAAAATAGTAATATACCTTATTCTTCTCGGGTATGTTAGCAATAGTAATATACCTTATTCTTCTCGGGTATGTTGAAAATAGTAATATACTTTATTCTTCTCGGGTATGTTAGCAATAGTAATATACCTTATTCTTCTCAGATATGTTGAAAATAGTAATATACCTTATTCTTCTCGGGTATGTTAGCAATAGTAATATACCTTATTCTTCTCAGGTATGTTGAAAATAGTAATATACTTTATTCTTCTCAGGTATGTTAAAAATAGTAATATACCTTATTCTTCTCAGGTATGTTACCAACAGTAATATACCTTATTCTTCTCAGGTATGTTAAAAATAGTAATATACTTTATTCTTCTCAGGTATGTTAGCAATAGCAATATACCTTATTCTTCTCA